AGCAGTGAGCAACTGTATTGAGCATCACTTGATTTTCTTGGGTTTTATTCCTTTCTCTGTCTCCTTTTCATTACAGTTACTGTTGCTGTTGTTGTAATAATAATGGTGATTATAATAATAATATTTTACCTCGTTTGAATTATTAGGGTGTTCTTGTCTCATCCCATGAGTTTTCCCCTTTTCTGATTCTCTTCCCCGTTCTTTTGGAAGGATATGTGGGGAGCAAGTGGCTGTGTTGTATTTAGTTGCTGTCTGGGCTTAAACCATGAAAATTAACAGAAAAATGTTTAATTAAATAAAGATTTATCATTTAATTTTTTCATATTGAGTTTACTCTACACCCTGCCTTTATGATACCAAACTTTTCTTTAATATTACAATGTCACATGACAACCGGCTCCCATAATGGGAAGACTGCAAAGCTGCAAGATAAAATCTGTCAAGGAGTAAACTCATTATAAACCCTCATTACCAACATGTAAAAAAATCCAGAAAAAACTGCATAAGATACTGCTTTTTTACTTTGTTATTTATGTTTTTGACAAAAATCTGAAAAATTTCCCATAAAGGATGAATGCCACATTGATATAGAGCCAAGGGAAAAGCTTTGCAGCAGAAATTGTTCATTGACTCTGTGACTGCAAGTGTGCAGAAAGAGAGCAGAGAGACTGCAAGAGCAAAAAGAATTAGATAACATTAATTTAAAAAACACAACAAAGCCACGGCACAGGATTGCTGTGTAAACAGCTTTAACTGTATATATTTATTTCCAGTGGCTCTGAAAACAAATGGAAGATTACTGGGAAAAGATTAACTATAACTAATGCAAGGAAATGTTTGAAGCAGTTAGAAAAGCTTTTTATAGTAGAGCAGTTAAATCTAGTTAATTGTGTTTGATTTTTGTTTTCATAATTACTTCCATTGTTTCACAGAACTCCTGCTGAATGTCTGACATAGTCGAGTTCTCCTGCCGTAATTAAAAGAAATAAATATATAGAAACTGAATACCAATGTGATTAGTGTTGTGTTACATACTTTAATGTATGTGCTGCTCATACTGGTTAGCTGCTTCATGCTTAGCTGAGGAGATAATCCACAATTTAAAACAAAGAAACCACTCTGATAAGTTGGTGTAGTTAATGGAAGTACTTGACTATACGTGAAGGTAAGAAGGGTCATTCTGGTCCAGTGGGTAAGTCATGAGTAAGTCTTAGTAAAGAGAACCCCAAATTATTTTAGTTCCCACTGTGACCCTGCACACTGGCATTGTCCAAGCCTTTTGGAGCATGATTAGCAGCAGTCTGGGAGGGGTGAGCTGTTCCCTGTCACAGCACAGTCTGTGGAGCTGCTTCTGTGCAGTAGGTTTTATAAATCCTGAACTGGTGTGTCCTAGAAGTGTAGAGCACCTGACACTGACAGCAAGGCATAATGCATATGATGTACATGCAGCTAGCTTTTGTTGGTAGTATTTACTGAATCATATTTCTAAAATATGATTATATGGTGCTCTTGGAGCACAATTAAAGAGGAAGGTAGAACAATATCTTGCAATGCATGCACTTTTTAGTATCTGTGGCACAAGCAGAAAATCTGATTGTGGCTGGAGGGATGTAGCTGAGACTGTGTTTGAAACTGCAAACATAAATGCTCCCTTTCTCTCTGGGTCTAATTTTGGTCTCCCTTGCTTTGAGGTAAACCCAATAAGGATTGATAAAGTTGCAGATGCTCTTTGTGGCTCAGATCTAAAAATGCTAACATTGGGCAACAGGAAAGGAGTAACCACTGGCTGTTTTTTCATCAGAGTACCACACCTGGATGCTGTGGTTAAATTGGATGGGTTATTCCTTCATCCTTTGTTTTACAGTTTCTGATATGTTTCGTGCCGTGTGTTTCTGGGTGCAGGTGTTTAGTTAGCATAGCTGTTGAGACTGAAAACTGTCAGGAGGATCACTGCAGGGCTTTGTGCAAATGAAGTGAACCATTTTACTGAAAAGATGAATGTGCCTAGCAATGTCACATCTGAAGTAGCTTCAGTTTTAGCTTGTTCCATGAAACTGCTTTTGAGGAGCTTTTAGGCAGGTGACAGTCTGATTCAGTGGGACTGTAGCAGTCCTACTGAGGAGTGGTGGAGACTGTAGGAGAATTCTGAAAGGTATTTGCAGGCTCATATGGCAGAAATGTGCAACTGTGTTTTGTGCTCAGCCCTTGGTCCAGCCAGTGTCAAATCCCTTTCCTTCCGTGGTGGATGTCAATCTGGCACTGTTGAAAAGAAAATCAAGTCAAAAGAGCTGCAATGTCTTCTTTCAATTTATTTGACAGTGGTATATTAGGTAACATTGTTTCTGAGTAAAGCCAATAGTGAATACATGATTGAGTCCAAATCTCTTCCTGTAAGCCAAGGATCTTCATTGCCATTCATGGACCTTTTATGTAATCGCTTGTGTAAGGGTTGCACATGATGCATCATCTACTTTGAAAAAAAAGTACTCAGCAGGGGCTGTGATTTTATACACTAAAAATGAATATTTAGGACCCAAGGGAAGCTATTCACAATTTTGGGAAGGTGGGGATATTGTAGAAGCATAATTTAAAGTGGCTATATGGCTCTTTTAAAGCACTGTTAAAAGATTAACATCTTAACATTTCCTAGGGTGATCCATCACAAGCTGACTTGTCTGTTTAGGATTTCCCCAAATGTTTTTCTAGTTAGATAAAAGATACGCATGAATGTGCAAAATGATTTGGCTGTTTTGTCTGAAGAATGACAATTTGTAGAAAACTGAATTTGCCACATTTCTATCTTTCCTTCGCAGCTGAACTGGTGTTGTGCCTTATACCTTTTTGATTTGTTAGAGTAATTTATGTTCATAGAGCAGAAAAGCTGGATTCCATCCTCCATATCAACCTGTTCAGAAACTTAACTTGCATGGATATTTAAAAGAATGTATAGGAAAAATCAAATTATTTCTTAAATATGCCACCCCAGGATGAATTAATCCACTAGCAGCACTGTAACTCAGGGTCTCTATGTCATTGCCCTGGAAATTTGTATCAGCACACTTGTAACAGTTTGATTTCAGAAACTGTGGTGTTGACTCCTAATTTGTTACCTGTAAGTTTTACTGGTGTCATTGATAGGAGCAGTGTCCAGCCAGTGCGTGTTTCAGTGCAAGATGTGGCTATTTGCCAATGACTGTGCCTGGGAGTTTATATTTTCAGAGGTTTATTTTTCTTTGCACAGACTGATGTCAGTGGCGCATGCCAGTACATTTAAGGAAAAAAAGGAATTCCTACTTAAAATAAGTGGTTCTGTGCATTTTATAATATAAATGCTTATAAAAACAGAAGCCTGGAAAATTATTAGTGTTTGTCAAGTAGGCATGTAGAGGACTCTCTTCAGAGTTGTACAAGCTATGTGCTATAAGGAAAAGAAATGAAATGTAATCATTATCCAAATACAGTGAGTAAAGACAAGAGCTTTCCACAATTTATCTACCAAATGTGTGTCCCTGTCTAACACAGAGTGACTCTAATACCACAGTTGTAATATTAAGTCTGCCCACATATTTTGTGCAAAATCTCGGTGAGGCATTCATTGCCTTGAAAAGCTGACACAATGGAATGCTTTTTGTGCTGGCTCTGGACAAATTATAGTACATTTTATCAGTTCCAAGGTCAGAGTACCATCATGGCTCTTAAACGGTAGTGTAGTAAAGTGGGCTCTATTGAATGTTCAAGGAACAGCTGTAAGTTTGCCTGAGTATTGCAGCCAGGTATCTCCAGCACAAGAAAGAGACTTTTTGTCTAAACCTATTTCTCTTGTCTACATTCTCATTTTTGCTGTAATTTAATTTCAGAATTGATTTTTGCTGCAATATATATGGAGTTGTAGAGCTAAGACACTCTTTGTTAACATGTCACTGTAGAAATGATACATTGCTTGTATCAGCTCAACTGCTGGTTGAAGCATAAGTCAAAGGGCACCGTTATTAAACACCTTGTACTACCAGAGTCTCTTTCTTTCCCTACTGTTTTTGTAGACTACTCTATTCTTAGAATTGAAAAACCTAAGCCCTTTCACAGAAAACCTGAAGTAGATTTGCATGGACTGAATACTTCTCTTTCCTTTTCTAACTTGTCTGCTACTAGCCTTTCCTTCCCTTTCAAAATAACATGCTATCAAAATGAAACATAATTTTTATGCTCTGCATGCCTGCACTGGTGTGGGAATATTTGTTTTCCTGTGAATAAAAATCATCATATATTTTTTCTTGGCCGCTCTGAAATGCAGAACAATTATTTCAAATTAGGATCAGATTTTTTTTTTTTCCTAATAAAAACTGTGTTATTCAGTAGAGTCAATTTTTTTCATGGCATACAGTCTAAAAGCTCCTGATATACCCTATGTGGATATGAGTATTTCCTTGCCCATTTTGCACTTTCTCTTCTCCTCTTTTACACAGCAGCCCATCAGCACTGCTTTTTGGTGTGCAAAGTGGGTAATTTCAGTAACATCTCTCTACCCCTAAACTTCAGCTTTCCTTTTTTTGGTTCACTCTCTTGAGTTCATGACCAATTGCAATGCATCGCTGATTCAGTGGTGTGACTTCTGCTCTTTGAGAGCTGGTGAAGGAGTGTGGGTGGCTTTCTCTTATCTGCCCTGGGACCCCAGCACACATGGGCATCAAAGATCTCAGAGTTCCTGTGAAGTAAAATGAGGACAAATAAAAATAAATAAATAAAGCTGACATCTCTTGGTGAGGTGGAGCTTAGTGTGTATTTAGGTGATATGATGTGCTTTATTGACTTACTGTCTTAATTTGACTTCTAAAACTTGCTTTATTATTAAGTAGTTGTGGATAATTTTGAAATGGGTACCACCTTGCAATTGCAGCAGCCCTTTTTTAGCCCTGCTTTTTAAGTCTTTTGAAACACTGGCATAGTCTATAACTTTCTGTAGAGTGATAACCTGTTGAAATATTTTTTGCTTTCCTTTTCAGGGAGTAATATGTGGGAGGCTGTGGACTATTTGCTTCCGACATAGGAACAGCCTTGGGTTGAGATTCTGCACTCCTGAGAGAATGCTGGGAATCTGCAGAGGGCGACGGAAATTCCTGGCTGCCTCTCTGACCATCCTTTTTGTCCCAGCAATTACGTGGATTTATCTGTTTGCTGGCAGTTTTGAAGGTAGGAGAGGAATAATGGCTGAGGGGAGGGTGGTGGGGTATTGGATGATTTGTAACTGGGCAGACAAATGTAGATCAGTCATCATTGCTTTTATTCAAATAAATTTTGTTTGGCTTGCATATGAAATAGTTCCCAAAGTGCAGATTTCAACAAAAGGCCTTCCTTACCATATTCTCGATACTGAGGATGCTCAGTTAATCACTGGCCACAATTACTTGGTTTTCCACTCATCTTTGAACTTTGAAAATGTGCAACAACTCCCCCCCTGCCCAGTCTACTAATCTTTCTCTGTATTTTCTGATTTTTAAAAGTAGGTCTATCCTATGCCCTGTAAGATTTTTAGCATCCCATTCAGATATGCTGAACACAGAAAATCAATGCATATCTATATAAGGTTTCTTTACATAAAAGTATTTTGGATCCACATCTACCTGACTGTCAGTGGATTGTTTTAGTTGGAATATCTTTCTGTCCCCTTCTTTTTTTAGATGGAAATCCTCCAGCTTATAGGTACATTGACTTGCAGCTATGTAATGAGCACTTTTTATAACGAGACAGGGAATAATCACTACTTTGTCTTTTAAATTACCCGTCTGGTGAAGTTTCTTTCCTGGCCTTACAGACGTTCAACAGTAATACTTCAGTTAGGGGAGGATCAAGGATTCTGGGTCTCCTGCTCTTTCCTACTTTGTAGCTTTTTAAAATTTGTTTGTTTTGTTTATTGTGGAGGTGAAGCATTTTATATTGGACAACAGGTCTGTTATTTTGGCAAGAGTAAAAAAAAGTCGTTCAGTCTTTGTAGTTGCATTAGCATGAGGAAAGGTGTTCCAACTTTGTAAAACTGTTCAGTCACTAGTTTACAGTCTGATAATTTTAAAAAGGCATTGTTTAAAATGTCAAGCTTCTTTCATGTATCCTTGGCTGACAAATCAGTGCCGTGTTTGGAAACAAAAGAGGTTTCCATGTTAAATCACAAGTAAGAGCATGTAAAGATTTTCTCTGTGTGTTGCATACGATTCTGAATTTGTTATATTCCATGTACAGATATTTGATTATGCAAATTTATTCAAGTACTTAAAATTCTACCTTAATGTGCAGTAACTCCATGAGCTCATTCTAGAACGAAACACTTGTGGGATTCATGTTAAATTGGAAATACGAGGGGTGCTAGCTGCATACTTGAAAATAATGATCTGGCAGGCAGAACAGTACTGATTTTGTTTGATTTTTAAAAGCTGAGCAAATGCAGGCCTCACTTTTTTGCTTTTAGAAGAATATTATGCTGCTTTATCGTAATGACTATTTTAATTGTGTCCACAATTGATAATGCCACAGTGTTTTAAATTCCCATGTGAGTAGAATCCTTTGTTTTTACAGAGAACTCAATACAAATCTTGAAATTCGGTGCTACGGGGTATTTGAAGTGACTTAAAGCTCTCACTGTGCATTAATCTTAAATGCAAGCTAGGGAACAAAGCCCATTACCTATTACAAAGCCTTGCACTGGAAAAGGACTGGAAATTATGTACAGTTAGTAACTATCAGTTCTTTTTTTTTGTGTCTGTTTTCTTTTTTCTTAGTTTTGGATGGGGATTATTTTCTTGGTTAAAAAACTAAGATTGATTACTTATTTAGCCAAATAACAGCTCACATTTTCCTTAGTGTATAGATATTAAGACAAAAAGTTAATGCCATTTTGGTGTTCTACATGACTTCTTGGGTTTTTTTTCTCCACAGTGGTCCCCACAATTTACTCATGCTTGAACTCTCTGTGGATGTTGTAGTGAGGTGGCGGTGGCTTTCTTCTCCCAAGTAACAAGCAGTAGAACAAGAGGAAATGGCCTCAAGTTGCACCACAGGAGGTTTAGATTGGATATTGGGAAAAATTTCTTAATGGAAGGGGTTGACAAACATTAGAACAGGCTACCCAGGAAAGTGTTTGAGTGACCACCCCTGCAGATGTTTAAAATATGTGTATATGTGGCATTTAGGAGCATTTTAATATTCATGGGAAGTAGATTTTGAAATCATATTTGTGAATGCTTGAATCAAAAAAGTGATTCTGGGGGTTCAGTTTAGTGGTGGACATGGCAGTGCTGGGCTAATGGACAGACTCAATGGTCATAAAGGCCTTTTCCATCATAAACAATTGCATCATTCTGTGGTTGATTGTGGACTGAGTAGAAAATGCCTCACAACACCATTGTGGCTTGATTTGAAAGCATCATGAGTGTAGAATCCTCTCTGCCTCCTGGCACTTGTTTCTTTTGTTAATCACAGGGCTAGAAATTTTCTTTTCAGTACATCTAGTTTTAGTTTTGAGTAAATGGTTCTTGTTAGACTTTTCTCCACCAAATAAAAGAAATCATCAATACCTGGTATCATCATAGATTCATTTAATTATTCAGTGTGGGATGGACCTCAGGAGTTCTCTAATTAAACTCTTGCTCAAATCAGTGTAGATTTTGGAATCAGGCAACATTTTTTAGGCCTGTATTCAACGGTGTCTTGAAAATGTCCAAGGACAAAGAAGACATGGACTTGCAGACACACCATGAATGAGTGCCCCCTCTATTTGAGCCCAACATTCTGAATAGTTTTTCACACATGTAGTAGTCCACCCATATACAGGGTAAAATCCCAGCTTGGATAAAGGAATACTGTGCTTAAATTCAAGGGAGATTGCATCAACTGATCATATATTAATAGTAATTTCATCACAGCAGGCAGTCAGGTTGGTCAAGCATGATTTACCCTTGGTGAATCCAACTGCCATGCCAGGTCTGAGAATGTTTCTGTTTGGAGATACCTAAATACAGCAGTAAAATCACTGTGGGCTTTTATTCACTAAGTAAAAAGATTGACCTAGCTGAGTTGCCATAGCAAAAAATTTTGTGGGGATTTTTTTGTTCTTCTGCATTTTTTTCTTTTTTTGTATGTTTCAGGGCTCTAGACTCAAATCTCTGATATGAAATGTGTAGTGCTGTGTCTGCGTCATAAGTTCTTGATGTAATTAGAAATTACATTACTCATCCATGTGTTTATATCCAAGAACTTCAGTTATTCATTTGCCATGGCATGGGAGTGGGATCACATTAGAAACCCTTAAAAAACCTTGTTAGTCAATCTATAATATAAAATATGCCTTGCTGCAGTCTGTTCCCATGTCCTGCTTTTTGAATAGCTTCAAATTCCTTAAGACAGTTTTGTTTTATTTTGGATTTTGTTCTCTTGTCAGAAAGTACATGGCAGCCTGCTACTTCACAGTTGTCGCTCAACACTTGCAGTAAGACCCTTCCTTTAGGATATTCATTGGAGGTGGTGTTACCCAAGCTGTGACAGCAGTAGCTACTAAAAGCCTCATTAATCATGGATAAATGTCTATTAAGGTTATGAAGAAGAATATTAAAGATGATATTGAATGTTCTGTGGCTTTTGTATATACCTGGTTACTGTTGTTTTTAATAATGCACAAGGACAGCATAATTTCAGTTATCTGTTACTTTGAATGAAAAAGCTAATTGTTCCAACATTCTTAGAATTTATTCAGAAGACAAAGTAATAGAGTAGGAAGGGTGGAGTGCATTTAAAACAGGGAAGAGAAAATAATCAAATAATACATGATGAATTTTCATTAGAAAGAAAATAGCAGTTTCACTAACTAGTGGTAGCTCCATAAATAGCTTAATTTTCCAAGCCATATGAAGCAGTTTCTTCTCCCCCTTACCATGAAGGTCATTTAAAATGGAGATTTGGAACTGTAATTTCACCATGCTTTCTGGATTACTGATTCCTCAAAAAAAAAAAAAAAAAAAGAAAAAGGAAAAAAAAGTTCACTGTGGCTGTGTGACCTCAGCAGATTTACAGTCATGTCCGTTTCAACAGGGTGAAAATACACTTGTGTTACCAGTCCCTGTGTGGTGGATCCGCTTGAGGGTGAAATCCTACAGGATGTGTGTAGGGCTCCTGTGTGGAATATATTTCCCAGGAAAGACAGAGCCAGTAATGTAACCTTAAGATGAAAAATTGAAAGTTGTGTGAGATCCTGTAGGGACTCTGTAAAGGAATAGTTGACTTTGCTTTCTTTTAACTGCTCGGGTAGCATTTTAAAAAATAGAGCCTGCCTTCTTTCCTGGGACTTGCTTTCCTTGGTTGTCCTCTTTTCACTCCAGTGTTGGGCAACTATCATTCCCTAACAATTCATTTCAGTCAAAGTCATCTGTAGAGACATGACTGAAGCCAGAGTTGGGCAAACACCTCATAAAATACAATAAAATAAATTGAAGGAAGGCTGCAAATATTCATCTTTGTATTTAAATGGATTCACTTTAATGCTCTTCACACTCTTTTTGTGTATGTTTCCATAAATATCCTAGTGAACATGTTAATTGAGAAGACTGTCTATGGGAACAATGAATATCCAGTTTTAATATTCATGGGAAGTAGATTTTGAAATCATATTTGTGAATACTTGAATCAAAAAACTGATTCTGGGGGTTCAGCTTTTTTCAGTTAAGTGCCAAAAGTTTATCACGTGATCTGTGTGCATGATGAAAACTGCCCAAACTTTTAATGCTTGCATTAAATGGCTCATAGAAAGAGGCAAACAAATAAGTAATTACTAAAATGTCTATCAGACACTTGCAACTGATGAACAAACATCAGAAAATAATTCCCTCACAGACAATGTAATCAAAAAGACACAAAACATGCAATTGCTTTTTTTACTATGTTTCCTTCAGTTGGCCTGAATTTTTTTTATCTGTTACGTGTCTCAACAGAATTAAACATGGAAACTTAATCCAATGTCCATTTAAAACAGAAGCTTCCACCTTTGTATTGATCCTGTCTTTTTAATAAAGTTCTGAGAGGAGAAGTCCTGAAAGGGTGCCTCTGCATGTAAGTAAGGGTGCTTCTGTGATGAGTGCCGGAACAGGTATACAGGAGGTGGATTTAGTGAATATTGGCTCTCCTTAGTCAAAAAGCCACCCCTTCCTTTC